TTGTGTGTGTGTGTGTGTGTGTGTGTGTGTGTGTGTGTGTGTGTGTGTGTGTGTGTGTGTGTGACATGCATGGAGAGGCCAGAGGTTGATGTCTTCCTCTGCTACTTTGCACTTTATTTTTCGAGACAAGGTCTCTCACTGAACCTGGAGCTCACCAATTCAACCCAACTGGCAGGGCAGTGAACCTTGGGGGTCCTCCTGGCTCTACCTTCCCAGTGCTGGGATTACAGTCACATGTCACATGTCTGGCTTTTTTGGGGTGGTGTTGCAATCAGATTCAGGGTGCTCCTGCTTGCATGCCAAATTCTTTTAGTGGCTGAACCTTCTCCACAGCCCTGTTTCAAGTTTTCAACACTAGCTCCCCTGGCTTGGCATGGAGGGGGAGTGGCAGCATAGTTTTAGTTGTGAGCCTGGGGAGGGGAGCCAGAAGGTTCCAACCCACAGATAAAGCCCTTTGTCCTCCTCCAGCACCCCCATCTCCCCCCCCAGGTGAACAAGGACTCTCTCTTTACTTCTGTTCTTTCCTCTTAGTTGTGTCCCCTTTACACCAAAATACCAAGACCCTATTTGACCTGGAGGCAGCTATCAACACATCTCTGTAGCCCAAGGTTCCAATGGTGGCTCTACCTCTCCCAGTGAGAGTGTCTCTAGACCTGGGTCTCCCTGCTCTGACAGGGAGAGGAAGGGAGCTACATCTCTACACATCTCTCAGTTCCTCCCACCCAAGAGCCATGAAGGTACCAGCAGTTGGGTAAGTTAAGAGTGATGCTGGCTTTGATGTCATCTCCAAACCGCAGGTAGCCCAAGGCCCCAATGGCAATGTACAGGGTGGTGATGATGGACATCCCCAGAGACAGAATGGTTGGGAAGCGGTGGGCATCCTTCATCTTGTTTTCCAGAGGCAGGACCTGCAGGAACACCACATTGTAAGGCGAAGGGGGAGGATAACAGCAACAATAGCAGTAGCAGTATCAACCAGAAGCACACAGAAGAGAAAGCCTCGTTGCCTCTGGCATGTTCCCAAATGAATCAAAAGAAGGGACTTGAAAAGTTGTTTGTATGATCTTGCTCATGTCAATGTTATTTACGATTGAAAGGCAGGAGGCAGAGCAAACAAAATGTGGTACATCTATGCAATGGAATATTATACAGCCTCTAAAAAGAAGGAAATTCCGGGGCTCAGCAGTTAAGACAACTGGCTGCTCTTGTAGCAGACCCAGATTTAGTTCCCAGGACCTAGATCAGGCAGCTCACAACCATCTGTAACCCCAGCTCCATGTGATCTGACACCCTCTTCTGGACCCTTTAGGTACTAGACATGCATGTAGTCTACATACATACATGCAGGCAAAACACATATGCACGTAGAACAAAAATAAATCTGTTTTAATATGAAGAAAATTCTGACAGTCATTGCAGCATATGTGGAGGTCAGAAGAGGGTGATGGATCTCCTGGAGCTGGAGTTACAAGCTGATGTGGGTGCTGGGACCCGAATCTTGGTTCTCTTCAAGAGCAGCCAGTGCTCTTAACAGCAGAGCCATCTTTGCACTTCTGATTTATGACAATAGCCATTTGGACAGGGGTGAAAAGATACCTCTCTGTGATACACCCAACAGCCCATGAGAAGGTGCATATTTTCATACTATTTGTTGGTCATTAGTAGTTCTTCTCGAGGAAGACTCCACTTACATCATTCACTCATTTTGCAGCTGGTTACTTTGCTGTTGTTTGTTGGGTTTCTTATACATTGTAGTGTCAGCCCTCAAGCTGGGTGTCAACCCTTTACCGTGTGAGCACATGCCTCCTATTTTGAAAGCTGTCTCTCCTCCACTCTTTCCTTTTCTATGCAGATGCTCTTCAGTTAGACATAGCTCTATTTGCCAGTTTACTTTTGTTCTCTGTGCCTTTGGAATCCTATCCAGAAAAATCATCCCCTGGAACCACCACCGTGTCTGACCAACCCCCTCAAAATTCTCTTCTAGAAGTTTGAGTCTTGAGTCTCCTGTTAATGTCTTTGATTCATTTTGAGTTATTGGGGCTTTTTTAAGATTAAAAAATTACATTTATTTATTTATTTCATGTGTGTGCAGAGATCAGAGGAAAATCTGGCAGGAGTTGGTTTTCTCCTCCCACCATGTGGGTCCCGGGCATTAAACTTAGGCCCTCAGGCTTGGAGACAAGCACTTTTATCCAATGAGCCATCTTGCTGGGCCTTGGGTTGGTTTTTGTATAAGGCAGAGTTTCCAGTTTTTGCATGGGGATAAATGTCATAATGTTGAGGTTCAGGATAGTTTCCTTTCTATTTTTACAAGTTTAAACTCAAGGGAGGCCCCAATTCTGGAATGATTCAGTGGTTGAGGATGGAAACCACTTCACGGAACACCTTTTCTTTTTAGCGGGGGCATGTGAAAAGGGAGCCTTGCAGGACAGAGAGTATGCCAGGAACCCTGATTTCCTGTTTCTCCATTTCTGCCAGGCCAAAATCTCCAAAGACAAGTCCCAGCCACAGAGTCACATTCTGGTGTACCAGTGACACAGAGATTAAACAGACATCTGAAGTAGCAGTGAGCAACTAGGAGTGAGCCTTTGGGAGATCTCAGGAGTGAGGGGCATTCAAGATGGACAATACACAGCGACTTGTGTAAAATCAGGATGTAGTGCACTTGGGCAAAGGTCAAGAATTCTAAGATGGTGTGGGCAGAGCATGAAGGGTACGATACTTTCGAAGACTGGCCCTGTGAGGTAGCATACCCATCAAATTGAGCCTGGGGAGAATACATTTCATTTCATCTCTCTGTCTCTGTCTCTGTCTCTGTCTCTGTCTCTCTCTCTCTCTCTCTCTGTTTAAGACATTGAGAAATACATGGAAGAAACACAAGAAGTACATGGAAGCATAGGGAGACAAAAGCCAGGCTTTCTGGTCAGAGGATAATTAAAAGGAGATTGGCTAGAAGCTGATGAACTCAGATAAAGAAATACTTATGTGAAAGATAGGTACAGGCTGGCACACACCTGGCTTGGGAGGCAGAGGCAAGAGGATTACCATAAGTACAAGGCCAGTCAGGGAACCATATCAAGACCCTGTCTCAAAAAACAAAGCAAGATTTGAATACATCACAAAGAAGACACACATATACTAACTAAACAGCAGAAAGGAGGGCCAACAAGAGGGCTCCGTGGGGAAAGCACTTGCTGGGAAAGCCTGATGACCTGAGTTCAATTCCACCAGCCCACAAAAAGCTGGTTGTAGTGGCACACCTCTGTAATCCCGGCACTCCTAAGGTAAGATGGGAGGCAGAGACAGGAGGACTGGCAGAAAGCTCACGGGACAGCTAGCCTGGGGGCCCAAGAGCAGTTGAAGCAGTAAGAGAGACACCTCAAAAGGTACAGGGGAGAACTGACTCCTGACACCACACTCACACCTTTACTCACTCACACACTACTAAAAACAAAGATGTATTCATAACCAAGTATCATTAGTTATTAGTAAAATGCAAATTAAACCATAATCAAATACCACTACACACTGCAGAATGTTTGAAATAAAAATATGCTGGGACTGGGGGCACAGCTCAGTGATGGAGTTCTGATTAGTATGCATGAGGTCCTGGGTTCGATTCCCACACACTCCCACACCTGCTAAGGACTGGCAGTCCAGATAGGCACTAGTCCCAATGTTGAAGGACTGCAATGCTCACGTGTTCCGATTGAAGTAAAAAGTGTCAGTCAGGGCTGGGGGTGGAGCTCAGTGGTAGAACCACTTGCCTAACCAGCAATGACAAACATCTGACCAGGATTACTGTCACTCTTCTAAATGTCCTATAAATATGAGACCCAGAAGCCTCTTCCTAGAGAAGAAAAAGTTAAATCTACGTAAGACCCATACACGAGTTCTAGGAGTGGACATTAGGAGCGTTACTCACAGATGTTACAGTCTAGAGACAACTCAGGCTCCTCAGTGGGTAAGCTGATGGGAGGTGAGCCAGCCCCTCAGTGGCTGTGCTGCAGTTATGAGCACTGAGGGAAGGAGGCAGCAGCAGAGATTAGAATGACCGCATAAGACTGAGAAGATTCTTATATCAGTGTTGTTGTACAGCTTTGTCAATAGGGAGGAAAAGAATTATCTTTTTTTTTTTTTTTTTTTTTTTTTTTTTTGGGAGAAAGGTTT